TGCAACCAAGTCCAAAGGAATCTGTTTGAAGTAGAACAACTGGATTAACTAAGTCACCACTGTCACAAACAAGCTCCTTTTATGCTAAGCACATTACAGTTTGGATTTTAAATGTTCCCCTTGAAACTCATGTGTTGAGGGTCTGGCTATGGCACTATTCGGAGGTGGTAGAGACTTTATGAGAAGAAGTTTTCCTTATTGGAAGAAGCTAGACCTTGGGGAGTGTATCCTTGAGGGGATAGAGGGATGAAGTCCTTTTCTGTGTTTGCTTCCTGGCTGCCAGGAGGTGAGCATCTTTTCTCTAACATGTAGTTTGATCCATGGTTTTCTGTCTTATTACGGGCCCCAGAAATTACAGACGCAAGAGACCATACAATAAAATCTCTAAAGCCATGTGCTAAAATAATAATAATGATGATGATGATGATAATAATAACCTTTCATCATTTTAAGTGGGTTTATTTCAGGTATTTTGTCATAGGGATGGAAAGTTGACCAATACATGTCCTATCTGTAGAGCAGTAAGTCTTAGTTAATCATAGAGAACTAAGATAACTTCCTATGTAAGTTCATCAGAAACTGAATGATTTTTTTCAAACAAAATATAACATGTGTCCTAGCAGCAGAAAGACTCCCTGGAAAAATGGGGTGGAGGAAGAGCCAGGATCTACTGATTAGTGATGACTGAGAGGGGAATCAGTAGAGTTACACAACAGATGGGAACAGTGAAGCGAGAAAAACGACAGTGCTGGGAGTAGGCTAGAGATGAACCACATTTTCTCACAAACATTGCTAAGGGACATTCCTGGCTCTGAAATGGCACAGTGGTCACAGGCCATCTTGGCTGATGGCAAGACAGGACAGCAGTGTCTTGTCTTGACATTCCTACTACTATTTTAACATGATGCCTTACATTTTTTTTTGCAGCCAGATCTGCCTACCCACATGTTTTAATGTCAACTAATAGCCATGTCATATCCTTAATGATAACGTACACATTCTCTATAGAAACAAAATAGAGCAAATAGACACTTCTGATGCAACACTCGAAATGGAAGGTCATCCAGCTGCACTGAGGTCCTCTGTGTCCTTTCTGTGTCTTTTATCCATGATGACATGCTTAATACAGCGACCAGAAAATTTCTCCACTTTCTATCAGACCAATGAAGTACCGATAGGAAAAAATAAAATAAAATAACAACAACCCTAAAAGATATGAAATTGGTAACCATGGGCCTTTAGCAGTGGTGCCTGCGTTAGGGGCTGGTACTTAGTAGATACTAATTACCATCTAAAGATTTTGTTCCATGGCCTAAAAGCCTCTATAAAAATGGCAGGCTTAAGCTCATGTGTGGAGGATACAGATGTACCCTCAGGACAAGGAAGAGGTCCTTCCTTCTTCAAGGCTCCTGGAAATGTCAGTGGCATCCTTGGAATGGGCTGAACTATGTCTTGAGATATGATTGAATGCTAACCCTTGGAAACTGAGCATGTGGCCCTTAGGAAATAAAATTTTAGGCCCTTAGGATATATAAATTAGAAAGAATATATAAATTAGAATATATAAATAAAAGCTCATAGGATATAAATTAGGAAGAGATTGTGCTGGCCTAGAATAGCCCCACACCCAGTGATTGGTGACCTTAAAGAAAACCTACAAGGATACATAAAATGGTGTTACAAACATGGAGGCAGGAGTGTGAGCCAATGGAACCCCAAGGACTTCCAGCCACATGGATAGACAGGCGAGGGCATGAAGAATCTCCAGGAGTCAGTGCCACAACTTGGCTGTAGACTCTGGCATCTAGAACTGTAAGAAAATGACTTTTGTTGTTTTAGGTTACCAAGTTTGAGGTTGTTATGGCAGAGGCAGGAACTTACTAGAGTCCTCATATATGCTACAAGCTTTTGAAAACTGGGAAAATACACAGGAATCCAGGCCTCAAAATGCTAAGTCTTCATCTGCTTTTTAAACAAATGAGGGGCCAGCCAGGTACATGGTAAAAATACATTTAAAGAAATAGCACCATTAAGCTTCAATTCATTTTCTGTTACACATCTTTAACAAGAGAGGAAGAAAATGCGGAGAAGAAAATAAAGCCAGCAGAAATGAAGACATGGAATAAAATAAATACATACACACAGAGAAAACCAAACTCAGAAACAGAGAGAAGTGAGAGACACATGAGGACCAATAATGAAGTAATATTAACAGTGTACATTGAATGAGTGGAACTCAAGGCACAGAGAAGTGACAGACTTTTTTTTTTTTTTTTTTTTTTTAATGCGCTCACGGTGAAGAAAGCAGTGGGCATAGCAATAGCAGAAGAGCTACCTGCTGATTGACATGTATTCTTTAAACCCTGCAATCCTCCCATCTTACACTTGAGGAGATTCAAGCCCATTGCCAGAGACTGTGGAGTGGTCGTGAGTATTTATCTTCAGCTGCCCTGCCATGTGCTGATGGCATGACAGACAGGGATGCAGGCTGCTGGGGCTTGGGGGGTTGCTCATCTGGAGAGTTTTAGCCAAAGGTTTATTGAAGAGACTATTCCATCTACAGATGAGAGTTCTCCCTGCCACCCAGACAACAGAGTGGAAGATTTTTCTAGTCCTCTAGAGACAATTTTCATTTGTAGTGGAGTCTTAATTTTACCACTGTCTGAGTGTAGCAGGTGCAAGGAGCCCTAGAAAACCCCAGCTTTGAATAAACAAGAACATCATTGGCAAAAATACATAGTTCTTGCATGAAGTGAGGCAAAACTCCAAAAGTATTTGCATTGGCTGATTTTTTTTTTCTTTTATCTCTAGGCGATGGTGTTTGAAAGGCAGGTGTGAGGTATGCTATTTTGTGGGACATCCCAAAAGGGCACTCTCCTAGTGTTGTGTAGTGTTTAGAGTTTCTGTTCATTCCCCATAAAGAAGTTCCCGAGTACAGCATGGATGAGGATCACCACCACCACAGCCCACACCCCAAGAACAGACCTGACTGGGAAAGAAGGCTTGCTTGCAGGTGAGGCAACAGTCTCTGCTGAAAGATTCCTAACTCAGGTAATAGTCCAGACAGGCACAAATGAAAGCTATTTGCTGATAAGCACAAAAAACACGATTATGCATTCTTGTTATTCAACACTAACACCATGACATATAATACATAATATCTTCTAAGAACAAATCAAGAAAGCTCCAGAATAGAACCCTTTAGAAGTCAACATAAATAAAAAGGAGACATAAAGTTAAGGTACGAAATACAAATTACAAGCAGCTAGTGGGGCAATCGGTAAAAGCCTGTTTTCTTCAGTTACTGAGTTATTCCTATAAGTCCCACCGCTGTATTTAGGATATGGACCAGTTTTTAGAATGTTTTCCTAAAATATCATGCTAAGTTTCTGGCTTGTAGTTGCTTGGGAGCAAGAAGAGTGTGAGGTACCTAGGCTAGAAGGAATGAATAACAGCCCAGCGAAAGCCTCCTCCGGCTCCAGCCACTCATTCCGAAGGGCAGAGGCAGGGACAGTACAAATAAAGCCACAATCAACTGCTGCAGCCGCTCCGTGGCCTGCCGGGTTTCAAAGATGTCTGGTCCCAGGAGAAGCATGTTCTCGTCTGTCCCATGGACCAGCCCGAGACAACATAAATATTGTTTTTTGTTTGTTTGTTTTTATTTTGTTTTGTTTTAAACTCTCTCTATGGCACATGAGTGGTTTGTTCTTTTCTTGGGAGCAAAGTTAGGAAATAAGAAGATTCAATCACCCTTTTCAAAGTGCCTTAAAATTAATTCCCCACTCAGAGGTCTAAGTTCAAACAAACTGGCACTGGTTTTGAAAACGCTGATCACCTACATACACATATGTAGGTTTTTAGTTCATGGGGTATATCCACCACAAAGCTATACTAATGTAATCACACTGCATCTCAGAGCAAGATCAATGGAATTTTAGAGAGGAAGGAAAGAGATTTGCAAGTCCAGCAAGACTCATCCTGTCATGCCTGGGAGTGCATCCACAGGATGCCTAAACCAGAGGTTTCTGCCAAAAGTCAGAAAAACATAGTCTTAAGGAAAGGAAAGATCACAGGGGTTAAAACAGAAAACCATAAGGAGGAAATAAATGCAGACATTTCATGCTCCAGACCAGACCTGTCACTATTTAGTAATGGGAGAAAGATTAAGATGGCAGAGAACCCAAGAACACAGCTCTCCAGCCCATCACTAAATCCAAAGGCTTCCATTCTTTCCTTGAAGGGTGGCAGGCAGAGGCCTGAGCTGCATGATTTCCAAAACCAGAAGCAGTGAGATAGAACAGACCAACACGGATGAAAATGAATAGATGCACGTATATCTTTGGGAAAATAGCAGGGAAAACCAAACAGGCCCCAATTTTCTGGTGGCAGCTTGCATCCACAGTTGGTCTAAAATGAAGATAGTATATGGGAAAAACCACTTCAAACTCCTACCAGGTCTCCCTATCTTGTTGTTTGGTCTGGAGAGCAGGGCTAAGCTTGGCCAGGCTGCTTGTGAGGTGCCCTTGGCCGCAAAGCACACACACAAGCTGGCCGTTATATCCTCACATCTGCAGCTGTCTATACAGAAACAAGCTCCTTAGAATCACTGAAAACAAAAGACAAAACAGCAAACAGGAACTGGACAATTGTTTGCACTCTCTCATAGACAGCAGTGATACCGCTTCTGGGTGGAAAAGTACTGCTAGGTTTTGCACAGAGCAAAATGCCACGGACTGGGCTGGAAGGATGAAGAGGAAGTGGGCCCGGTTCCCCGGAACCAAGTCAGTACACAAGCAGGTATTAAAGGCAGCAGCTCGTAGCCAGCTGCTTTTTCCAGCCTCCAGTTTGACACAAGGCAGTGGGGTTATGTGGAAAACAAAGGAATTTGCTGTCTTCTGCCTTTCTGACCAGAGACCAGATGGAATTCATCAAAGAACCTCTCCTACCCTGACCCCCACCCCCGCTCCTCCTCAGGGCACAGAAAGGGTGCAGACCCTTACCTTGAAGTTGTGTGTCTTCTCATAGTTGAAGTGGTTGTCGTTGTGTGTGAGGGCAGCTCTTCGGACCAGTGAGGAGATCTGCGAACAGGCAAAGAGCTTGAGAGGAGACCAAAGAAAGCCACTTTTGAATCCCACCTTTACCCCGAATGCAATGGCCAGCAGCTCCTGGCGCTTCCTGGCAGGCTTGGACTTCCGAGCTACAGCACATTTTCTCTCATTTTCCAGCCACAATTCCTGAGCGAGCATAGTGCTTGGATCTCAGCTCTTCTGCGTTTCCCCCGTGGAAGCTCTCTGGAGCCAGCAGAGTTTGGGGACTGCAGCTAATGTTAGGCAGCAGATTTGAGGCAGCTGTGCTCTGTCTGGAGAGGCCTGAGGCATGTGACCTGGAAGGGACTGTTTGAGTGATGGAGGGGGCTCTGGCTCAATAGGGATGGGCCTGCTCTGTGCTATTTCTTAAGGCTGGCATGTGCCTGGAACAATAGCACACATTCATACGTAGCAACCCCAAGATTATCTAGTCAGCACAGGGGATCAAGGAAGGCAGCAATGTGTGCACGAACACACAGACACACACAGACACACACAGACACACACACACACACACACACACACACACACACACAGGCTCATTGTTCAAAGTTCAAAGTCAAAGCTGTATCCAATTATTCTAGATCTCTGAACCTCATACTGGGCTGACCTCCAGCAGAGTAAACCTTTAAACCCAGATGATTCTTTAATCTTAAAGGGATAAAGTCACATCTATTAAAAAAAAATCCTATACTTAAAAACCTTATCTTTATTGTTATACCTTTATGGAACGGCAACAGTCTGAGCTCAGGCAGTTTATGGGAGAAGTGCAAAGCATTCGGTTGTGGGTTCAGCAAGCTCCGGGGTGAGAGGGTCAGGAGGCAAGAAGCAGGCTGCCTTGCTGCAGAATTCTTCCATTTTCCATCATCCCTCACTACTTCCCCCAAATCCCACAACTTAACTAAATCCTCTTAACTAAAGCCCAATCCCCACTGTTGGTTTTCTTTAAAACAAAGCATCTCAGATAGCCATTTTGTTAGCACCCCAACCCATCTTAATGCCCCCTTTGCCCTTAAAAACAGTGGATGGGTCTCCTTTGGGGTCATGGCTTTTGGTCCCTGGTCTCTCCATTAACAGGAGTGGGAGACTGTGATGTCTTGGGAGTACTTTAATGCAGCTAATGCCAGACAGACAGTAAAATCAATACTTTAGGAGCTAGAAAGCGAGGAGAATGCAGAAGGCTAGATGAGCAGAGACATGAATGATTCTAGAATGTCATCCTATGCACTATGAGACCTGACCCAGGGTCAGAGCAGAGCCCCACCTAAACCGCCTTGTGGCAATTCCCAAGACCCTGTGTGAGTCTCCATTTCTGTGCCCCATCACCTCAGCTTGGCTCAGAAATCCATTCTCCCATTTTGCTTTGCTACCTTTTATGATAAATAACAGCTTTTTTTTTTTTTTTTGGTCACACACAGGAACTTACACTCAGAATGTACTAACGTGCATTTACTTATGTAATCTGCAGCATATGGGTGTGAGGGCCAGGATGTTTATGGCCATTTTCTGAATGAAAATACTGAGGTGCTGAGAGGTAACATAATTTGCTGGAGGACACATCTTGTGTCAGCAGCAGAATCAAGATGAGAGTGGAAAACATCTGCTTGCAGCCCCTGAGCTCTGGGATACTGCCCTCTGCTGTCATAGTCTGCATCCAAGGCCCCAAATACTCTTATCTCAAAATTCTTAGCTCTGCCTCTTCCCATCATTCTTGCCACCTTAAATGTCAACCCGCTCAGTCACTGTGATCAGCACAGCTGCGCGCACTCCTTGTCTCCCCTTCTCTGTGTTCAGAAATTGCCCCAAGTCTCCACGATGAAGCATGTGCCAACATTGTGCACTTTCACTGCTCTCTATCTCAATATCCAGCTCATCTTATCTCTCCCCCAATTCCCATCCCAGGTCCTAGAAAATATTTTTTTCTGGCATATTCAGTTTCTCCATGTAGTAGCTTGTTCTCTCCTTTAGAGTATTACTGCACTGTAATAGCATGTTCTAGTGTTTTATGTTTAATTAATTGCTAGTCCCCCCCCCCCACGGAGATTCTTACTGTTCTACAAGCAAACCCTGATGTATACCAAAATGATGCTGTGTAAGCTTGCCTCCAAATTATCCCTAACTGGCCAATAAATGCCTACACCTGGGCAGGGCAGAAGAGAGGTAGGTGGAGTTAAGGTTCAAGGTCTTGGAGAGCAGGAGGATCATGGGAGGGAGAAGAGAGAGAGAGAGAGCGAGAGAGAGAGGGGAGAGACAGGAGAGGAGAGGAAGAGAAGTTACCATAGGTTAGTGTAAGGAAGAACCACATGGCTTGGAGGAGATTGCCCTGAGGATTGGTGATGGAGAGAAGCAGCCCGAATGAAACATGTTTCATTCTGTGGGAATTATGGATGGGATTGGAAAAATGTGGAGCTGGGAGGTAACAAGGTAGGTTAGGGGGTTTATTTCTGTCCAACTTTAGAGTTTAAAGCATATTAAAAATCTAGCAAGTGTTTGTGTCTTTCATTGATATGGCAGTGGGTTAAATAATAATCACCATGATAATTTATGAATTAATAGTAGATATTAATAAACATTTTCTACAACATTGCACCACTTAAGACCCCAACATTCAAATTCTAACTCAAATGCCACCTTTGCCAGGAAAACATTCTTACATTTCCCACTGGAGCAGCATTTGCCCTCTGAAGTTATGATTCTTCATTGCACTTTCTTGCATTAGCAGAATCAATGAAAGCTCTGACTCTCCATTATACCAAGAACTCAGGAAAGGCCTGGGTCACTTTTGGTTCCCCCTGCAATGGAATTCTTTGCTATAGCAGATAAAGCCCTAGCACATGGAGGAGCCAGAAGTCTAGAGAAAGGCGAACAATGGTGTCCCACAAGAGGTGGGATCTCACATTCATTCTAAGATCATTACTGCCCCTACAGCCCAGCTTCTAAGAACCAGGACTACCCAAGGCTGCTCCCTCCTAATAGTTCCTTTCCCTGACCAGGTCCTGAGGTTCAGCTGTCTCTGAAGGGGCTGAATGGAGGTTTGGTATACCTTACAAATGTTCCCAGTTTTAGCTTAAAGGTAAAAGCTTGGAGCCAAGGAGAAAGATGTTTCTTTAAACCTTCATTGCTAGTATATGAACACAGATGCAAGCACCAGTTCTACAGTATGTGCTAGGCAAAGTGTATGGTTATACCATTTGAGAATCAGACTAAATAACCCTTTGTATGGCAAGTGGGTAGATGAGCATCTCCTCCTTGTGGTGTACTGACAGCTGAATACAAGATTAGGTCTTCTTTTCTTGCCTGCATGTCATTGCTTATAACCAACATTTTAACATTTCTATTCGTGGCAGTGACTTCTTTTCCAGAGCATTTACCCAAACACAAGATGCATTCAGCCCTAGGCAGGAACCACACACTGTCCTTCAATGAGTCCTCTTCACAGGGAAAGAGTGTTAGCTCCCCAGGAGAATGATAGCTTCAGTGGTGACCCTGAGTCACCCTCTCACTACAGAAAAATGGTTACAACCATGGCTTGGTGATCCCCCAGGAAACGCCTTCCATGGGGGCTCTTGATCTGAGCATCTCCAGGGAAGCTTCTTAGCCCTGTACGTCCTCCACAGCATTGGTCACTGACCTCACACACACTGGATGCTGTCAGAAATCTCCATCCGACCTATTCTCACCTATACATTTCTCTGCATGTTCAATTTGAACGTAGCATCCTCCCTAGGCCGCTGACACTTGGGCCAGCTCAGCCTTTGTCGTGAGGGGTTGTATCGTATGTTGTAAGCTGTTTGGCAGCACCCATTGTGTTCTCTCCCCTCACTAGGCGCCTGTAGAAACCCCATTGGGATCACTGAAGATCGGGGGACCTGCCTCCCATGGGGCTTGCCTGGCTTAATACCATAGACATTTAAGTGTGCTTCCTACATGCTAAGTACAATGATAGATACAGTCCACGTTTCTATTCACTAAAGACTTATAAGCCTACAATGCAGTACTGTTCTAATTCCTTCTGTTCTACAGATGAGGACATATGAACTATGAGTTTCAATACCTTGCTCAAGGCCCCATATCTGGCAGGTGGGCAGTCTGTTGAAATATCTAAGGAGATCTAGGCTTCCCTTTCCACCAAAGAACAAATTTTATTATTTTTTTTATTGTATTAAATACATATAACATTTGCCCACCTTAACATAGGCAAACCAACTTACAGAGGGGCTTTGGTCCTCTTACAGGAAGCTTCTACTAAAGATACCAAGGGCAAGTAGGTATGTCTATGAACACATGGCGAATAAACTCAGTACTTTCTACTCTCTTTCTCCTCTTATAATAAGGATTAGAATCCTATCTTTAGAGTCTCTCTCTGTTCTCTACCTCCAGGATCTTGCATCCAGGAAGGTGTCCGGTAACAAGAAAACAATGGGATGTTGTCAGATGAAGATGAAGAGAAGATGAGTCAGTAGCTGAAAAGATGTGGGAAATGGCTATTTGGGGTACCCAGCATCACAGAGAAAGAGGGGACCTTAGAAGTCCATGAGCTCACTAGCTGCTTCCCCACCCACTCCTGACACACCTACCTCTCAGCTTCCGGCAGCCATGACCAGAGACTTACCTTCAGATTTCTAAGGTAGTGATTATTTTCCCACAGACCCCAAGTGTGCCCCAGTGACACATTTTGAAGGTTTGTTGAAGAGTGTCACTGTCAGTCCCTTGACTCCAGCCCTAATGTCTGTACCCCCGGGCCCTTAACACTTCTCTGCCTTCTGTTTGAGTCTCCCTTGTGTGTTTTCAGCTCAAGCGACATCCTGTCTACAATCAGTAGCCTACTACTGCTGCTTTTGCTGCCTCACAGCAGTATAGGAAATGAAGCTCAGTATTACACATGCTGGCCAGGGAGCCACAAGGCTAGATCTTTAGTATCTTACTGGTGTTTGTAGCAATTAGAAAAATGTCTGGGGAAAAATAGCTGATGACTTATTAAAGGCCTGAAT